CAACCGCCCCACTGATCCACAACAGCGCTGGTGCTGGAAAGCACTGCAAATCACACTTCCGCAGGGATGGGCCAGGAGTCTAATGGTTGGCCCATCAGACAGGTTGTAAACGGATTTCCCGGAGAAGCTGTCGAAAGACATAGGGTATCCTGTCTGGTCTTGTTTGCCAAGATGACCCAGATGTTCTGTTTAGGTTGGGGTGGTAGCCAGACAGTATTAATGTTTTAAATCAGGTAAAAGCAGCAGATGAAGAGGTGGGGCGGACCCACCTTACTGATGTCCACTTTGGGCCAGATCCTGTGGAAACACAAAGTATAACCTCTACCCCATGTTATTAACGGGAAAGGTCCTTCCCACTGCAAGGAATCTGGATTTTTGACCATTACCAAAGCCTTTTGTTTCTGTATGTGTTGTAAGGTCTGTGTCAGACACCTACAAACAGGTGGCCCTTCTTTGGTCCAACGGTTTAAAAAATTCAGAATGTAACATGGCTTTGCAAGCCTTTGTTGAGGCGTAAGGCCCCCACTCCCTCTCTTTTGTTTAATAAGCATATTTTTAAGAGTTGCATGTGCCCGTTCTATTATGGCCTGACCCGTAGGTGAGTGAGGTATACCTGTCTTATGTTGGATGCCCCACTGTTGAAAAAATAATTGGGTAGTGCAGGCAACATAACCCGGACTGTTGTCCGTTTTAATGACTTGGGGGATTCCAAGAACTGAAAAGGCAGCAAGAAAGTGTCTGCGCATATCCCGGGCCTTTTGTCCCATATGTGGTGAGGCATATATACAGGTGGAAAATGTGGAAAATCTATGGAAACATAAACATATTTAAGCTTACCAAATTCGGAAAAATGTGTAACATCAGATTGCCACAGCTCTAGAGACTGTAGGCCTCTGGGATTAACCCCGATAGATGGGGTAGGGGAAAAAAGTTGACAATCAGGACAGGATTGTATAATGTCTTTGGCTTGTTCCTTGGTAATTTGAAAAGAACGACACAAAGCTTGGGCACTTTGATGGTAAAAATCATGTGACAGGCAGGCTTGAGCAAAACGGTCTGGGACCACAACGGTCCCTGCGAGTTTGTCCGCCCGAGTATTGCCTTCTATAATTGGGCCTGGTAATGAAGAGTGGGATAGAACGTGCTGAATGAAATAAAGGTGTCTATGTTTGCCAATTGCTTCTTGTAAACGCAGTAATAGTGTGAACAAGCAAGGGTTAGAGACTTCCTTCAGGTAGGCCCCTTATATGTGCATCACTATACCTGCAACATAAGCAGAGTCAGTAACAATATTAATGGGTTGCAAAAAAACATTCAAAAACCCGTACAACTGCGGTCAATTCTACAACCTGAGCTGATCCCTCCGTAATGAAAACATCCTCCTCCCAGTGCCCATTCTCTCCCTGCCATAATGGTACCGCGCGGCCCATGTGACCTGAGCCATCTGTAAAAACTGTTAAGGCTGAAGGCAGGGGGGTAGGCGCTAACTTAGAAGCGGGGATCAGAGGGAATGAATGCAGGGTTTGCAGGAGTCTGTGGGATGGAAAATGAGTTGACATCTGGCCAGAATATCCAGCCAGTGCGTGCTGGAGCACATCTGATTTAGTGAAGGTGAAGTTCCATTGACGGAGATCAAAAGGAACATAAATGACTGACGGGTCTTGGGCATTGAGAGCAAGGAGACGATCACGGCCTTTGGAGATAAGCATGGCAACCATTTCAATTCAGGTCATAATAGTTTTTGAAAATTTATGTGGCAGAAAGATCCATTCCACAATGACAAGTGGATCAGGGTCTTTAGGCAACCACTGAGCCAACAAGCCGTATGGCTGAAAGGAGGAATTGAGGATAAAAAGGTCAATTGCAGTAGTTGGATCCACTCGGTGTGCAGCTTGCAGAGTAATTTTATCAACAACAGATCGAAGAGCCACGAGTGCATCTGGAGCGAGGCGTCTGAGGGAAGTGAGATCTGGGTCTCCTTCCAAGAGTGAAAAAAGCGGGTGGAGCTCTTCCGTAGAAATTCCTAAAAGGGGTCGAAGCCAGTCAATGGTTCCTAAAAGCTTCTGCAAATCGTTGAGGGTTTTCACTGTCATCGCAAGAGTCACTGATTGGGGTCGGATCCTAGATTGCAATATTTGCCATCCAAGATAGAGCCATGGTGGTGTCTTTTGAATCTTCTCTGCAGCTATACACAAACCAGCGTGGTTTGAAGCAGCTGTAATTTCTGAAACTGCCAGAGTAACCTTTGCCTCCTCGGAAGGACAGATCTCATCGCAGATCCTGCAAAATTGAACAGGAAAGCGCCTCCCAACGGGGCTCCTGTTCCAGGGCTAGAACGACAGGGAACACGTGTAACATGTCCATATCCCCGACCTCTGCTGCTTCTCTCCGGACAGCAAGCCACAGATCATGAGGATCAAGGGGGAACAGGTCAGGTTCCTCCTTGGGGTCAATAGGATCGTCTGGCTCCCCTTCATTATTCAAAACTAGTTTACATTTCCACGGGAGCGGAACAGGGGGCTTCCCCTTGCCCTTACGAGGAGGAGGGTCCCCCACCATCGTGGCCGGCAAAGGATCAAAGGATCCTGCAGACGTGGAGGGAGCTCCCCGTGCTTGTAAAGATTCAAAAATGAGACACCAGGAATCAAGCCAGGGCAGTACTGTCTTATCTCCCTTCGTAGCTGCATCCCAAAGTTTAACACCAATGGCATCCCAAGTATTTGGGCTATAAATCGTCTGTCTAGTAATAGTCAGGTCTCCCTTAACAGCCCAAGCAAGCATCTGCTGTAAATCAGTAGCGGAGACCGTTTTTCCCTTCTGTTTAAGCAGAAGCTGAAATTTTTCCAGGATCTTCTTCTGATCCGCAGTAATTTTATTCACCACTGTAGCTTAAGCGCTTACCTTTGTCCAGCGACAGGCAGCAGGCATGAAGGGGGTTCTCGTTTCTTTCAGTGCACTCACCGCATTTCTTTCAATGCACTCTCTGCATTTCCTTCAACGCGCTCACTGCATTTCAACGCACTCACTGTTTTGTGCTTCTCTCAGCATGCTCTCAAGGGGACTCGTCAGGCCCCTGTTCGGGCGCCAGTTGTCACAGTTCAGCAACCAGAGGCCTCTGTCATGTTCTTGAGAAAGTCCTTTATTATTCTTCTTCTACTTCTTCTATTAATCACCCAACACACCAGCACACACACATATATATATGATTGCGCATTTCTTGCATACAATTCTCAACAGTTTCAAGGCCTCCCTAAGCAACCATATCTAATCTTACATCTTGTTTCTACGTCCAGTGTTTCTTCTTGATCAAAGCATACAGTTCCCTACCTGTGACCACCACCACCTCAGCACAGCAGAAGCAACAAACATAGTATCTAAGCAGACCTTTCTTTTGCCGTTTAGGCCTGTGATGCCCATGGCCTCATGGGAGTCAGGCTAACTGTGGATCTCCAAGGGGATGGACCCCCAGCAAGCTTCACATGATCCCCTTCAACAAACCTGATTTTGTTCTATGACAAGGTGACCTGCTTAGTGGATGAAGGTAAGGCTGTCCATGTGGTCTGCCTGGACTTCATTAAAGCCTTTGACACTGTACCCCACGACATTCCTGTGGAGAAGCTGGCTGTGCACGGTTTGGATGGGCATACTCTCAGATGGGAGAAACACTGGCCGGAGCCAAAGATTTGTGGTCAATGAAGTTAAATACAGCTGGCAGCCTGTCACAAGTGGTGTCCCCCAGGGCTCAGTACCGGGGCCATTTCTATTTAACATCTTCATTAACAATCTTGATGAGAAGATTGAGTGCACCCTCAGTAAGTTTGCAGATGACAACAAATTGAGAGGGAATGTTGATCTGCCTGAGGGGAGAAAGGCACTACAGAGGGACCTGGATAGACTGGATCAAAGGGCCAAGGTAAACTGTATGAGTTTCAATAGGGACAAGTATCAGGTCCTGCATTTTGGTCACAACAACCCCAGGCAACCCTACAGGCTTGGGGAGGAGTGGCTGGAAAGCTGCCTGATGGAAAGCGATCTTGGTGTTCTGATGGACAGTCGGCTTAATATAAGCCAGCGGTGTGCCCCTGTACTTAGCACTCGTGAGGCCTCACCTCGAGTACCGTGTTCAGTTTTGGGCACCTCAATACAGAAAGGACATTGAGGTGCTGGAGCAGGTCCAAAGAAGGGCAACAAGGCTTGTGAAGGGCAACAAGGCTTGTGAAGGGCTTGGAGAATATGCCTCAAGAGGAGCGACTGAAGGAACTGGGGCGGTTCAGTCTGGGGAAAAGGAGGCTGAGGGGAGACCTTATTGCTCTCTTCCAATATCTGAAAGGTGCTTACAATGAGAGTGGGACCGGTCTCTTCTCACTGGTGACAGGACAAAGGGAAATGGCCTCTAGTTGTACCAGAGGAAGTTTAGGTTGGCTATCAGGAAAAACTTTACAGAACGGGTTGTTAAGCACTGGAATAGGCTCCCCAGGGAGGTGTTTGAGTCACCATCCTTGGATGTGTTTAAAAACCATTTGGATGTGGTGCCCAGGGACATGATTTAGCAGAGGAATGTTAGAGTTAGGGTAGTATGGTTATGTTGTGGTTGGACTTGATGATCTGTAAGGTCTTTTCCAACCTGAGCAATTCTACAATTTTATGATTCTATATCAACAGAAGGGGGAACGTCTGTTTACAAGGGTGGATAGTTAGGACAAGGGGAATGGTTTTTGTTGCTAACCTCCATGCAATTCCAGCTGAAGCCTTCGAGGACCAGCCTCCGGCTTCATCCAGGTGTTCGCAATCGTTAGGGACTCAACGGTCTGTCCATCTACCTCGGTGCACACCAATGTGGTGTATGGTAAAATGGCGTTTATTGCAAGGAGCACATCCTTCTTAAAACTTTCCCCATGCCTTAGGGCTACTACCTGACCAATGGACATGTGGCATGTCTTGTTTCTTCCTTATTTGGTCTATCTTGTTCTTCTCCCTTATCTTCAGGCCATTTGTTGCCATGGTTTCCCTGGGGCCGAGGGGCCCCTGTCGACCCTGTTCGACTACATTTCCCCCTCCCTATGCATAAGCGTAACTACTACATTCTGAGAGGACCCTAACCGCGTACAACCCGAAATCCCCGCATTGCGCCTATACATGCCATTGTCCTCTCAGTTAAGCCTTGCCCCGTTACATCCCGATTCGCAAAATAATTCTAATCCTAACCTTATGGTGAGCAAACGAGGCAATGGGGGGACCCTTTTCGTACTTCGCCTAATACAAATCTGTTCCCTCCACTGCATGGAAGATCTTATCCAATTGCGTTCTCTGCTTCTCTACAAGCTTTTTGCATTTTCTTATACTCTATGCGGTAATTAATTGTACGATCATTTGTCTCAGCACACACTATACTTATATCTGTAATATACCTATATATCTATATATAATATGACTATAAGCGTAAAGTGTATTAATATTAGACCTAATACAACTATAACTGAATAATGAATAGAGTTAAACAGAGTTAAACATTCCCGTCGCATTGGTGGACCATCCCAGAAGCACTTCCCATAAGTGATGTTCTCCGTCCTTCTTTACTCTCTCTAGGACACGATGGATCTCTTCTGGGTCATGGTGAATGGTGATCAAGGTTTTCGGCCCATTGTCTCTGTCACGTTTCAGGATTGGTGCAGGTCATCATGTTGCAAAAGCTTCCTTACCAAGTTCCTTCCTTGGTAAGCCAAAGCGAGATTCATCCCACTTGGAGTAGGTGATAGGTCTTTAATCACCGTGTAATTATCCTGCAAGAACTGATGTGATGTCACGACACTTAATAATTAAAGCCACATCCTACAATACTAGTAAAGTTATAGACAGAGAGATTAGAGATTAGAGTGATTGCTGATAGCTCTAGTGGCACTATCTGTGCCCAATATATACCAACATTGTCTCAGGTACCTGTTGGAATGTACCTCAAAAATAACAAACATTTGTTCAATATCAAGGCAGATGTCTCAGGCTTTGAGAGCACTGCTCTCACAAACCAGCTGTATGGACTTGCTTGTTCTCCAGGCCTCAATCTGGCCACCTGTCCCTGAAGGGAAACCATTCTGATGCCCACAATGTATACTGCACTGGCTTAAGAACCATGCACATCAGATTTGTTACATGAGGAAAGAGAAGGCCTGATGCTGTCAGGACTTCTAATGCATTTAAAGTGAGGGATGATTTCAATCCCCGTTTCTCTGCACAATCTATCAGGTGTGTGATGCCTTTCGGATCAAGGGATACCCTTCCCGGACCTCTGTTATCATTCCCTTCTGTCAGGAAGGTCTCTAGTGCTCTTCCTTCCTCTATCAGGCTAGATCTAAACTTCCCACAATCTGTTAGTGCATCTCTCTTAACTCCCAAATGCAGATTCACCTCTCTCCTTTCGCTATCCTTTTCAGTCACAGCTGGAAGCTGCGGGCTCCGCACCGCTCCCACTGTGCCCATCTCCCTTTGATCAAGCACTGACTGTTGTAGAGGCTTCTGATTAGTTGCATGCGCACTCAATTTTGTAAAAGGATGTGTGGGTCGAGTCAATGGGTCTGAACACTGTGGCAGAGAGTGGGTCCGGAGACTGTCGTTATTTCTTTCTCCATCGGGTGCAACCTGAGCAGAGGGCGCCGGCCGGACGCCACCTACTCCTTCAGGCGCAATCATGGTGGACAGTGCTGGCCGGACACTGTCATCCCAGCGCCTGTAAGTTACATCGCTTCCCTTTCTCTCTGCTTTTTCTTCTACTACCTCTCTAACTTTTGACCAATCCGTACCCGAGCCTTGCCCGCAGTCCCCACCCCCCTGGGTGTTACTGCATTCCACCTCCTGAGAGGAGACAGCAAGTGTCCCATCCCAGCTCACTATTCCCCCTGCCCCCACAGGTGGTGTTAGGTTACACAGAGAAGGATACAGCGGTTGTCCTGGATACGGCTGGGGAGTTTCAGCGACCTTGGATTCCTGCACTTGAGCCGTTTTGCAAGATAAAAGTGCAGACAGTTCAGCGCAGTCTTCTTCTACTTGTTTATGCGAAGCTGGAGCCGAGGGGGGAGCAGAAGGGGGTGCCGATGGTGCGGACGAGATGTTAGTCGCCATAGCTGAGGGCATATTTGCGGTGTTCTCTTCCTCAGGGGAGCTGCAAGAAAGTACGCTTCCCGCTCCGTTTCTCACGGTGTTATTAAATTCGAAGCCCATCATAACGCGCGCAGCCATTTTCTCTTTCTCCTCATCGACCTGAGGCTCAGTAGTTGGCTTTCCTGTGGGACATGTGGGAGAAACCTTCCCTCCTCCCAAGCCCAACCAAAACTTCGCCTGTTCAGATGTAACCTGTTCCTCCCGCGCCGCCTTCAGCGCCCCCAAAACCAGTCCCCAGGTTTTCAATTCTCCTGACTTCCCGAGTACCATCGCCCGCTGGGAAAGCGCTGCGGTGATGGGATCCCAGGACCCCGGGGAATACAAATCTGAGGGAGATGTAAGCAGTCCCTCCTTTTGTAAAAGGGACAACATTGCCCCTATTTCCTTCTTAGAAGGAGAAGTTTTCCCGCAGTAGGTCTTACACGCGGACGAAATCACCTTTATGACGGCCTCCATAGTCCCTCCACCGGGCGTACTCCCGCGGATCTCCACCGGGCACTCTCCCGCGGATCACACAACCACCGGGCTCTTCCCCCGATGGTCACCTGGGTCCTCGGCAGGTCAAACAGGCTCGCGCGCAGAGCCCCCTCCGACGCTACCCAGCTTCCACTCTCCTAAGCCGCAGCCCCCTCTTCTAGGGTCATCGCCTCCTTCCCCAAGGGAGATGGAAGAGAGCAGGAACGCCACGCCGCCTGTGGCCGACCACTATTCCCTAACAATCACGTCGGGGTCACCAAATGAAGCCTTCGAGGACCAGCCTCCGGCTTCATCCAGGTGTTCGCAATCGTTAGGGACTCAACGGTCTGTCCATCTACCTCGGTGCACACCAATGTGGTGTATGGTAAAATGGCGTTTATTGCAAGGAGCACATCCTTCTTAAAACTTTCCCCATGCCTTAGGGCTACTACCTGACCAATGGACATGTGGCATGTCTTGTTTCTTCCTTATTTGGTCTATCTTGTTCTTCTCCCTTATCTTCAGGCCATTTGTTGCCATGGTTTCCCAGGGGCCGAGGGGCCCCTGTCGACCCTGTTCGACTACACCAGCCCAGCTAACAACACCTCGTTAGTGCCCTCCCGTCTGCACCCCTATCCAGCACAGGGACACGAGAGATGCACGCCATAGGGTGTAGCTCAACTGCCAATTTATTGCTGTGCAACAACCGCCTATATACTGTGACACGTGACTGCCCCATGAACCCGTGACCCATAAAGCACCACCCAGAACCACCCCCGTAACTACCACCCACACCAAGTACCGCCCACATCTCCCCCATCTCTATGTCATGCTACTGTGTCCCCTACTTTCTACTATTATTTCCCTTAGTCATTAAAACAAGAATAGTTTGTAGAAGCACAGATATGCTGTATCCGTTGAAAAAGATTAGTCCTTGTCTACGGCTGTCATGCAGAATCATAACACTAATTATATTAATAACATAATCATTATAACTCAATCAAGGCCTCAATTGACAATACTCGAAATGTTAAAAAGACAAACATAGCATAATGACAAGAAATACTGTTAACCTACTAAAAAGAACAAACGTGTTTGGTCTGCAGCCCAACTTTCTGCAACCTGAAAATAAATCCCTGAATGTCCCACAACACCTCTAACTGATTAGAAAGAGGTCTTCAACTTTCATATATTCTGATAAATTTATTTTGAAAGATCACCAAAATTTGTACAACAGATGCTTTTAGAGTGCTCATGATTATGCCTTTGGGCTACTAGAGAATTAATAGTCGGACAACTTTAGCATGCCAGACAGAACTAGGGGCATTGTTACTTACTGACCCTCAAGAACCAACAACCTGCAGAAAAAGAGAGAGAAAGAACATGCTGGTGGTGAATGTGATAGGCAGTATCAGCAGGGCATCCCATGCTTCAAGGTGCACTTTGCTCTCTCACCCATCACAGATTCTCTCTTGTTTTATTCTTGTCAGGGTCCGAAAGGTATTTTCCATTTGTACACTGCATTTGCATGGCCAGTGCGTGATACAGAGCCCAAGTGGAACACCTGCTTGCAAAACATAATAAGCTATCAAAGTTAGCTCTCTTAGCGTGTGCCTTTGCCTCAGGTGCTGCATGGTCATATTTTAAAAACCCTGATTGGTGCGATGAAAGAGAGTTGATCATCCTATAATACAGGGTTATCCCTTTGCCTGGGATTCCTTTCCAGGTTTTGTCTTTGCAAATCAAGAGAAACCTAATTGACAGGCTGATAGCATCATAACCGAGCATTACTAACACATTAAAAGAGCTATTCCTGTAGATTACAGCACTGGTAACATTAAATCCTGTTTAATTCACATTCAATCTACTACTAAAATAAAAGAAGCACACAACAACCTAGATAACGCCTAATAATTCTAATTCTTGAAACTATATTGATAACATAGGAAAATCACCCCACTATATCATACCACTACTACTGCTACTTATTTGCAATATAACAAGTTACAAAGCAATACCAGTAAATAAGAAGCACACAATCCCAGTCATTATAAAGGCTGGATGCTATTTTCTGCCTTGAGATGAGGCCAAACATATCGTGCTGGAATCCACGTATGGCCAGCCCATAATCTTTCTTGAGGTGTGTCTCCCGTATTCCCCCTTTTTGTTTATTAAGAATAGATTTCAATGTTACATGAGTACGCTCAATGATAGCTTGTCCAGTGGGAGAATGAGGAATGCCTGTAATATGTCTAATCCCCCATTCTTGGAGGAGACTTTGTGTAGCCTTAGAAGTATACGCAGGTCCGCTATTGTTTTCAACCAAGTTACACACAGGCTGCAGAGACGCAGGAGCAGGCGACGTGGATGGGGCGGAGGGCGGGGACGGCTTGGCAAACGTCAGCGGTGGGTGGAGCAGAGGGCGAGAACACGGCGAGCGCCGTGGGCGGAGCCGAAGGCGTGAGCGGGATGAGCAGCGGGGGAGGAGCCGAAGGGAGCAGCAACAAGATGAGCGGAGGGGCGAAGCCGAGGGCAGCAGCAAGGGGGGGGTTGTGATATCTTTTCTCCATGGTCAGGGGTGAGGTCGGAGCCACGGATCGAATCCAGACCAGGGCTGCTTTCTGCAGCAAGGGGCAGCAGCGGGGGTGGGAGGGAAGGCGATAGGGAATAGTCCAAAGAAATTCTTCCTTGTCGAATTTGTTTAAGTCCTTCCATCATTTGGTGCCAAACCAACAAAAGTTTAGCAGCCGTTCTGTCTTTAGTAGTAGCCATCTGCGCTTGTATAATAATCATCTCTGCCTGAGTCCTCACGTGTTGCTCCCACACTGTACATTGTGCCAGTGTTAAGACTGCCCTGACCATCTGCCATCAGTCAAACATTAGCAGTCCTGATGTCGCGATGGTATCTAACAGCAGCTGCGCCCGATACCGATATCCCTTCTGACTGAATAGCTGATTTCAACTGCAACAGAACTTTATAATCTACAGGATTCCATTGATGGGTCCCATCTGGATCCATCAGAACTGGAAAAGCTGCTGAGGGCAGAGGTGCATCAGGCTCAATGGTCTGCAGCTGACAGCCCGTCAATACACAGTTCTTAGCTTTGACAAGCCACATCCTTCCAGTTTCTTGCAGGGCATCAGCGCCCCTGGTGTTCGACGCGACCTCCTTTGCTGCCCACTCTGCTTTTCGAGCAGCTGTACTCACTTCTTTAACTGTCTCCTGCATCTTACGCAACAGCTGTTGGGCCACTGTCTGCGCAGCTGCAGCCTCCTCTACGCCTAGTTCCTGTTTCGCCTGCCCAGCCCCTTCTCCAATCACGGGTCCCGGTTGCTCTTGTCTCTCCCCTTTCTGCTCCAATCACAAACCGGCTGCCTCCACCTTCCCCCCCCCGGGCACTCCCCCCAGCATTCGGGATAGGGGCTGTGGGTGTCGTTACTGAAACAGCAGTGGGCACAGGCACAGCTCCAGGAACATACCAGAACGCTGTTGTAGCCCCAGTAACCCTCCAATTAGATGCTGCAGGAGGCCACACAGGCACCGCCCAAGGCACATCATCCTCCACCCCCAACACGGCCCACCCGGCCCCGCCATTCCTTCCAGATGTATCCATTCCCAACTCCTCCTCCTGTTGTTCAGCCTCTAACTCTGCCTTGCCACCCTGTTCAACTTCCACTGCATCCTCTTGAGCCCCCGTCGCAGGGTCCACAGCCCCCTGGGGGGGGGCGCCCCCCGCCGAGTTCCTTGCCTGTCTCCCCAAGCTGACCTAACACCAGTTCCCGAGCCATCCGCCAACACCACTCCTCTGTTCCCACTGCTTTCAGAGCTCTTTCTAAGCTTCCCAAGGTAGCAGCGATATCTACTGCTCCCTTTGCTCCCAACTTAACCTCCTCCCACAACTCCTCTGCCACCTTATCTAAATTCCTATGAGATAAGCACTCTGTAGGAGTACTCCCATAACCACAGTGCTGAACGCAATTAATCAACGCTGTTCAGGCCTTCCACAACAGCAAAACCTCTGCCTGTTTTCCCAGCATCTTCAGCATACTCACCACTTGCTTCACAGAAGCCATAATGTGAGCTGCTACCCCCTTACCCGTGTGCGCACACCTCATCACATTGGGGTCACCAATTGTTGGTAACCTCCATGCAATTCCAGCCCAGCTAACAAAACCTCATTAGTACCCTCCCGTCTGCACCCCTACCCGGCACAGGGACACGAGAGACACACACACCATAGGGTGTAGCTCAAGTGCCAATTTATTGCTGCACAACAGTTTTAAACAGAGACGAGGGGGGGTGTAGGTTAGGTATTAGGAGGAAGTTTCACACACAGAAGGTGGTGACACACTGGAACAGGTTGCCCAAGGAGGTTGTGAATGCCCCATCTCAGGAGGCATTGAAGGCCAGGCTGAATGTGGCTCTGGGCAGCCTGGTTTAGCGGTTGGTGACCCTGCGCAGGGGGTTTGAAACTAGATGATCATTGTGATCCTTTTCAACCCAGGCCATTCTATGATTCTATTATTTGAAGTGTACAAAACCCAGCAACTGGAGATCTTTCAGTGACAGAATCACAGGAGTTGGAAGGGACCTCAAGAGAACAAGTCCAACTCCCATGCTAAAGCAGGTACAATAGGTCACACAGGTAGGCATCCAGGTGGATCTTGAATATCTCTATAGAAAGAGACTGCACAACCTCTCTGGGCAACCTGTTCCAGTACTCTGTCACTCTTACCGTAAAGTAGTTCTGCATGTTAGTACAGAACTTCCTATGTTCAAGTTCTAGACCATTACTCCTTGTCCTATTGCTACGTACAACTGAAAAGATCCTGGTCTTATCCATTTGCCTCCTATCTCCCTTTAGATATTTATAAACATTTATCAGATCCCCTCTCAGTCATCTTTTCCCCAGCCTGAACAGACCCAGGTTACTCAGCCTTTCCTTGTATGGGAGATGTGCCAGGCCCTTTATCATCTTTGTGGCCCTCCACTGGACTCCTTCTAGGAGATCCCTGTCTTTTTTGAACTGGGGAGCCAAGAACTGAACAAAACATTCTAAATGTGGCCTCACCAGAGAGAGTAGATGATCACCTCCCTTGACCTACTGGCTGTTTTTTTTTTTGTTTGTTTGTTTGTTTTTGTTTTTTGTTAAATACACCCCAGGATACCATTGGTCTTCTTGGTCACAAGGGCACACTGCTGACTCATGGCCAATTTGTTGCCCCCCAGGTCCTTCTCTGTAGAGCTCCTCTCCAGCAGGTCATCCCCTAGTGCACTGATGCACGTAGTTTACTCCTTCTCCAGGTCCAAGACTCTATACTTGCTCTTGTTAACCCTCATCAGGGTCCTCCTTCCTGCCCAACTCTCCAGTCTGTCCAGGTCTTGTTGAATGGTAGCACAGCCTTCTGGTGTGTCAGCCACTTCTCCCAGCTTTGTATCATCAGCAAACTGTCTGAGGGTGGACCCTATCCCTTCATCCAGGTCACTGATAAAGATGTATGTTGAACAATACTGGACCCAGTACCAATCCCCGGGGATCACTGCTAGCTACAGGCCTCAAACAAGACTGTGCTTCTGATGACAACCCTCCGAGTTCT